CAATATGGGTGCTACCGCGGGAGGTGCCGGGCGGGTAGATACTTCCCCGCAACCTGAAGCTCCAGGAGTTAACGGAGGCGGGAACACTAAGGGTAGAACACTGAGATTGGGAACACACGTGGGACGAGGGGAGCAGATTAGGGAACTAGGTTGATGGGGAGCACATGGAGAAGGGTGATGAATGTAACACTGCAATAAAAAGAAAGAAACAGAAACACCGGGGAGGAATCCGGCAAATCGTGGCGACCCAGAGAGAGAACGTGCGCGAGAGAGACGATTTGGCTGGGAACGGTAGCTGACGTGTGGCGCAAACACTCAGCACGTTCAATTTCTGAGGTGTCTGTTTCTGAGTCCGTACGAGTCTCACCACGGCTACGGGATATTCAGAGCCAGGGAGTGACTCCAATCGTGACAGTGTAGTTAAAAAAACAAACAAACAATAAAAAGGAGCACCTGTAGCTTTAATAATTAGATGCTTTCAGTGGCTGCTGCTAGGCAACCACAACAGTTTAACCAGCACTCCAGGCTTGGTTTCTGTCAGTAGAAGGCAGGGGGAGGATAAGAGCCCTCCATACAGGAGCCATCAACAACTGAACATGGGTTCTCATGATTAGCCAATTACCACATTTTTGAGTGCAGGAGATAAGGATAGTGTTAGAAGGGAGGCCCAATTACGGACATCCGCGAGCCAGAACAGGCATGCTAATATTCACATTGACCCTTGGAGGGAAATCAGGGTGCTTTGCCTCACACATACATACATGACACATGGGCAGGAGGGTTCAGAAGTGAGTGGGCAGGAAAGGACACACGGATGGGCTACTGGGGCTCAAGGTTTCTCCTCGGGACCCCGAAAACTGGAACTGACCCAGTGTAATACTGAATACATATATTGTTCTTTTTTCCAAGGGCATGTATGTCTTCTTGCATGCGGTAAAAGGAACCCCTTTTGAAACGCCAGACCAAGGCAAAGCTCGGCTGCTGACACACTGGGAACAGCTAGACTACGGCGTGCAGTTTACGTCTTCACGAAAATTCTTCACGATCTCTCCAATAATTTTGTAAGTTTTATTTGAAAGTCTGCCATGGTACTACTTGCCAAAAAAGCGGGTTTTTTGAACTGTAACGTTTGATGCAACTAATCAGGGTTCTGCAGGACATTATATGGAACATACTGATTACGTTTTACAGTAATTGCTTTGCCAGTTGTGAGATGGGGCTGTCACGGCTCAAGTGGGGTGTCGCCTGACGCTGCCACCACTCTGGTTCCAGGCTCCTCTGAGAAGGCCCAGAGCATCCTCCCAGGCCTTTAGACCTCCCTTTTAGATAAAATGAGCGTGAGGACCAGGCAGAGTGAACAATGAAAAGTATAAGTCCCCTTTCTCTGTGATTGGCTAATTTTGGCTCCAAAACCTCTATGGGGCTTCTGGGAGTTGTAGGCCTGGCCTCCTCTCAGTGCTACACAGGCTCCCTGGGCCTGCTAGGCCCTACTGGCACAGCTCAGATCATGACAGGGGCACTTAGAGTAAAGAGGTAGCTGGCTAGTTTTATGGCATCCTGGAACTTCTGCTTTTCTTGCTTCTCGGCAGTTGAGAAGGAGAGTCTTGTTCTTGCTCTGAACCTAAGCAGTGGCATAAATGAAGATTAAGTTAGATTTCCTCTGCCATCAATTTGCTGGGTTGAACTAGTGCAGAATCGCCCAACAGACTCTAAAGCTGAGTCAGATTTCCCCATAGGCTCGTTAAAGCAAATTTCTAAGGCTCTCAAGTAGTAAAGATGCAGCCTTGGCTTCCCACGGGGTATCAACATTCAGACTTTGAAACAAGCAAAACAACACTCTATAACAGGGGTCTCCAACACTGTGCCCACGGGCACCATGGCGCCCACCAAGGGCGGGGCCAGGTAGGGCATTTGCCCAGCAAGGTTTCTGATTGGCCGCTGGAGATTTGATTGGCTATGAAGATTTTTTTTAAATGTTGCTGAACTAACAGCCCACACTTTATTTACACGTGAAGAATCTAGGAGAATGCCTCCATTCATTAGGTGTTTTCTCAGAAGCGGTTCTTTGACACAGGGGAGTGGTGGCAGTGTTTTAGTTCAGATAAAGCAGTGGTCCCCAACATGGTGCCTGAGAGCAATATAGCGCCCACCAACACCTTTCTTGACACCCACTAAATGCTTTTAGAAAGTAGGTGGGGCTTTTGCCCAGCAAGGCTTCTGATTGGTCACTGCAGATTTGATTGGCTGTGCCGATTATTAAAAATCTTGCTCTGGCAGCAGCTGCCACCACAGCACCAGTCTGAATGTTGCCTCCATGTAAGCCGCCCTGAGCCCGCATTGCGGGGAGGGCGGGGTATAAATTGAATTAATTAAATAAATAAATAAATCTTCACTGTGTGACTGAAGGTAAGCTGCGGCGGCCATTTTGTTGCCGGCTTCACCTCCTGAGGCAGCCATTTTGTGCCCCCCCTCCCAGTTTTAAGAATTCCAAAGGTGCCTGCAAGCTTAAAAAAGGTTGGGGACCCCTGCCCTAGAATGTGGAACAGGACACCTTAAATATGGTGAGGAACGCAGACATTTGTTACCAGCAGTGTTCCCTCTAAGCTGAGTTAGTGTGAGCTCACCATTTTTTAGTCTCTGGCTCACACCTTTTTGTCTCAGCTCAGGAAGGAGGGCTCCAGAGCAAACTAGTTTATGCAGTAGCCAAATTGCTCGCTCACAACTTTAATGCCAGTAGCTCACAAAGTAGAATTTTTGCTCACAAAACTCCACAGCTTAGAGGGAACATTGGTTACCAGTAGCTCTTAATAATGAAATGAAACACAAAAGGGGAAAATCATAATGCTCCTAGAAATATTGGTTACTTCCTCTGTTTGTCAAAGGGGGCGGGGAATGAGAAATGGGCTTGTTAACCTCCAAAGCCCCTCAGAGTTGTATTTACCCTCTGAAGCCCGGAAACAAACCCTGAAATTCCCAGTAGCTTTTGAGGAAGCGTTTTGCGGCAAGAGGAGCCATCATGCAAGGTGACAGCAGATGTGTGCTGTGTCAGCATTGGGCAGACCAAAAGGAGTCTGTGTCAGGTTCTCCAGGGAGCCAGTGTGGTGTCGCGGTGAAGTGCGCGGACTCTCATCTGGGAGAACCGGGTTTGATTCCCCATTCCTCCACTTGCACCTGCTGGATGACCTTGGGCAAGCCGTAGTTCTGCCAGAGCTGTCCTTGAAAAAAGAGCAGTTTCTGCCAGAGCTCTCTCAGCCCCCACCTACCTCACAGGGTGTGTGTTGTGGGGAGGGGAAGGGAGAGGAGTTTGTAAGCCGCTCGGAGACTCCCTTGGGTAGTGAAGGGTGGGGTATAAATCCAATCTCTTCTTCTTCTTCTTTTACCTCACAGGGTGTCTGTTGTGGGGAGGGGGAGGGAAAGGAGTTTGTAAGCCGCTCTGAGACTCCCTTGGGTAGTGAAGGGCGGGGTATAAATCCAATCTCTTCTTCTTTCCCCTGTTCCTCATTCTGAATCACTTGAATCAGGAGACGTCATCAGGATCCCTGCTTTCCCTCACAGTTCCTAAGCACCGCATTCATCTTCTCTTGGCTCCGGTGCTTATAGAAGGCATCATCTTCCTTTTCTTCTGGAATAGAACCATAGAGTTGGAAGGGACCTCCAGGGTCATCAAGTCCAACCCCCTGCGCAGTGCAGGAAATTCACAAAAACACCCCCATGCCCAGAAGATGTCGAAAAACCTTCTAGGATCTCCCAACCAAACCTGCCTGGAGAAAAATGGCTTCCTGACCCCAAAGTGGCTATTGGCATTTCCCTGGGCGTGTGAGAAAGGGCCACGAGAACTAAGCACTGAGGCAACCCTAACCCTGCCCTCCCTCTCATTATCTGCCCAAGTCCACAGAATCAGCACTGCTGTCCGATGGCCATCTAGCCTCCGTTTGAAAACCTCCAAAGAAGGAGAGCCCGCCACCTCCCGAGGAAGCCTGAATCACCGTAGCAGGCTTTCGAGAGGAGACATCATCGGGATCACTGCTTTTCCTCACAGTTCCCAAGCACTGCATTCATCATCTCTCGTCTGCGGTGCTTATAGAAAGCATCGTCTTCCTTTTCTTCCCCCCGGACTCTGAACTCTCAGGACGTAACTGCATGAGAGCAGTTACCTCAGTTCTGCCCTGGGTGTTGACAGGCACTTGCTGGGCGTTCCCATTAACACCTTAGATTTACAGGCACTTAGAGGAGGTGGATTTGGATCGGGGCCACGGTGCGCAGGGAGAGGCAACTTGAACTTCCCCCTCGTGCTCTTTTCCTAGCCTGAAATGTTGGGGGGGGGGAGGCTGCTCACCCCTAAACCTCGGGGCTTAGGTCATAATCCCTTCTTCATGGACCTCAGCACGTCCGGACGGGTAGTGTCGCCCCACAACTGACCCCTGTATTAGCTGTCAACCACCTCTCCTTTCTTAGTTCTGTACTGTGTGTGTGAACGCTTGGTTTTATGCAGGGCTTTTTTTTGTAGAAAAAGCCAAGCAGGAACTCATTAGCATAATAGGCCACACCCAATGGCAGAAATTCATTAGCCTATTAGGCCACACCCCCATGTTGCCACACCCATCTCTTGCTTCTTATTCTGTTTACTTTGTTGTCAAAACCCTGGGCTTTTTTTGTAACGGGAACTCCTTTGCATGTTAGGCCACACACCCCTCATGTAGCCAATCCTAATGAGTTTCTGCTCTTAGGTGTGGCCTATTATGCGAACGAGTTCCTGCTGGGCGTGGCCAACTCAGGAGCCAGCCGGAACTCCATTCCTGTGCGTTCCTGCCCAAAAATAGCCCTGGTTTTATGTTCGTATGTTTAAGAATCCTTCAGTAAAGAAATCAGTGCTTTAGTAATCTAGCCTCTGCGTCTGTTTCTGGGACTGGGAAATCAGACTCCCGTATATACACCGGTTCTGATCCTATATTTAATGCCTGTTGCCATTTAATACTCATAATTCCCCACATTTTTAAAATAAATTAAGGCAATTTGGCTAACAAGTTCAGCACGCAGCTACTCTTTTGGTGAATACAACTCAGCATCTATTTGTGACAGCGGCATCCGACTGCCCAGTCGGGGAAACGTGTGTGTACCAATGGCATGTGTGTAAGTTTCCTCATTCAGGCAAATAGCAATTAATTGGGGCCTTTTCCAGTTGGGGAAAACAGCGCTGGGGGGTGCATAACCCTCCTCTCCCTGTGGTTCTGACCTGTGGACCACCCCTCACCCCCCCCCCCGGTGTAGCCTGGCCCCCAGTGTTGAACCAGAAATTTCTACCACATTTGCTTGACAGGCTCTGGAATCAGCATATTGTGTAGTTAGGCTGTCAATTGTTGTTGGAAAACTTGGGCTCACTAGGTTGGCGGGAAGAGCTCAGGTGAAGGGAGGGGCTGTGGCTCAGCGGAAGAGCCTCTGCTTGGCGTGCAGAAGGTCCCAGGTTCAATCCCCGGCATCTCCAGCTAAAAGGTTCGGGTAGGAGGCGGTGTGAAAGACCTGTGCCCGAGGCCCTGGAGAACGTCTGCCAGGAACAGTCGACAAGATTGACCTTTAGGCACCAGTGGTCTGATTTAGTATGAAACAGCGTCAACCGCGAGGGTGTTCACTCAGAGACAAGAATGCCGCTGCTGCTAATAGATGTTGAGTCGTATTCAACAAAAGAGCAGCTGTGCACTGAACAAAAAGTCCACTTTCTTGGAAAGTTGCTGTGATTTTTATAAGGAGGAATGTTTTGTAAAGTTGACGTCCCTTGGGGATGGATTTCTCATGAAGCTGCCTTATACTGAATCAGACCTTGGGTCCATCAAGGTCAGTATTGCCTACTCAGACTGGCAGCGGCTCTTCAGGGACTCAGGCAGAGGTTTTTCACATCACCTGGTGCCCAGTCTTTTTAACTGGAGATGGAGGGGATTGAACCTGGGACCTCCTGCATGCCAAGAAGTTGCTCTACTACTGAATCAGACCCTGGGTCCATCAGAGTCAGTATTATCTACTCAGACTGGCAGCAGCTTTCCGGGGTCTCAGGCAGAGGTCTTTTGCATCACCTGGTACCCGGTCCTTTTAACTGGAGACGCCGGGGATTGAACCTGGGACCTTCTGCATGCCAAGCAGATGCTCTACTACCGAGCCACAGCGGCTCCTCCTGAACCATTCCTCTGTTAATGGCTTACTTGGTGATCCCTTGACCTGAACTCCCATCCTAGCTTTCTGTATTCATTCTGCCTTTCTGTTCCCGCAGGTATTTCCTGGCAAGCTTCTACACCAAATATGACTCGACGCACTTCATCCTGAACACGGCTTCGCTCTTGAGCGTGCTTATCCCCAAGCTGCCGCAGTTGCACGGCGTCAGGCTCTTTGGCATCAACAAATATTAAGGGAGGAAGATCTCACACGGAAGTGAATCTGACCCAGGCTTGGCACGGCCACTGTTTGCCTTGGAAGAAGACACCCATTCACGGCGTCCACTCGTCTAGTAACCTGCAAGGGGACTTCCTTCTCCGAAGGTGTCAATGCTATCCTTTGAGAGCTGCGTGGGAGAGAAACGGGCCTTCTGGAGACAAGCCCACTTTGGAGTGTGGGCTTTCTGTGAGGAGCTGGGCGGGCCCAGCTCCACTGTGCTGGTGGCATTGACCAGATATATATATATATATATACCCAGCTACCTTAAGCGATTTGCAGAAAGGGGCATGAATAATGTGACGGAGACAAACGGTAGTCCCCCATGGCACTGCCGTCTGCATTTGTGATAACGGGAAACACCCCAGTTCTCTGTTTAAGAGACTGGTATGATCTAAATGTTGTACAGTAGCCAGTTATTGTTTCTTGGGTGTGTGTTTTGTGTGACTCAGTGATATAATGGCTCGAAATGCCTTATTTATTCTCATGACCTTGTAACCCCAGTTTCCCCATCTTGAGGTGTCAAACCTCAGGAGACTGGGGCATCAGCTTCCGGGCCTTTCTTCCATAGAAAAACCGATATATTTCTGGCTCATTTTGCAGACCTAGCCGATTAGTCTGAAAACATTGAGAGTACCTACAAATGATAACTTTTATGTTTTCAAAGCAAAAGGGGGTTTCTTTCTGTCCTAGAGCTGGGCTTTGTAAAGCCCGTTTGGGAGAAAGTGAGGTTTCAGCTTCAGAAACCGGGGACAACTGCTGGCTAACCTGACTGCCTTTCTCTACTTAGTTGGCTGACAAAATACCTAGTATTTCTGTGAGTTAGAAACGTCGTTTTTTTGGGAAATGTGTTCCATTGCTGTGCTTAGAATTTTTGAGTGATAGGAGGCTCTAGTACCAAGCAGGTTGCCCTGTGTAGTCGCATCCTAAGAATAATAAATCTAATAAGTTTATGGCGCAGTCCAAAATAGATTTACACCCTCCTAAATCCATGGAAGCCAATGGGCTCAGAAAGGTGTAACTTTGCTTATTATGTTGACAATCTCTTATCTCCCCCCACCGTCTCTTGCATTATATCTGGAGTGGTGAACTTTTATGCATTCCCTTAACTCCCTTCTTAAGAGATGAGCTGGGTTGGTGGGAGATTTGGTTTTGAAAAAGCTGGAAATTGCTTTGCCCTACGAAGAGTCCTGGTTTGAGAGCTAGGTACTGCAATTGTAGTGAGTGTGAGAAAAGTTGGTGTGACAAGGAGGCTGTGTGGGAACCAGTTGTTTTGCCCAACCACAGAAAGAGGCACGTGCTTTCTTCTCTTGGGAGAAAAGTGTATCTGACATGCTTCGAACTGGAACAAGGAAACCTGAGATTCTCTGCCCACGGTCAATTTGGAATTCAAACCGGTATTGATGTGTGTACTCAAAGTAATAATTGGCCCCTTTCGAGAAACAATGCTTTTGTTTGTTATCCTAGCTCGGGGTGGGGGAGAGAATGTCTTTTTGAACAATGTCAGTGTTTTTGTATTAATAAAATGAATGACTTTGAGACTGGGAAATTGTGTCAATATAGTCCTTTGTTAAGTGAAGTCCACTGTACCAAAATTGGCTATATGCACTAACAGATGGTTCTGCAAATAGAATTATTGGCTGCATTGTTTGAAAGACTACATAAATGCATGTTTAGTAAAGCCCTTTCAGAAAACTGTGGAAGTTGTTCATACAGAAGGCTTCCCCCCCCACACACTCTGACATTTTCTCCCCTAAATCTAGTGTGTGGTTTATTCGATTTTTTAAAATGGCCTTGATAAGCCTATGATTAATTTGTTTTTACAAGGAATGAATGAAACCTTCGCTTCACAGCAGAATAGCAGTATTTAACCTTTGCCCGTAGAGGTAACTCGGGCAGTTTCAGCTTCTCTGTCACTCTCTGTGATTTCTCTCACTTGTGAAATCCATATCTCTGCCAAGGTATTTTATTTACCTTTAATAATGGAATGCAGATTTAAGGTCCTTACTAATAACTATGACTACTGAGCCCAAGGTTGGCTGATCACATTCTTAATTTAATTACTGTATTTCAAAATCCACCTCACATGTCTTGAGAAACCTGCATAAGGGTCAAGAACCGGATATGGAACAACTGATTGGTTTAGCATAGGAAAAGGAGTATGACGAGGATGTATATTGTCACCTTGCTTATTTAATATATATGCAGAGTACATCATGCGAAACGCTGGCCTGGATGAATCACAAGCGGGAATTAAGATCGCTGGATGGCTCTGCGGGATCCAAGGCCCCCTGGCGGTTGGTTGGATGAGCTGGTGGAGGACTGGCATGCCCGGCTCTCCTCGGCCATCGACGTGATCGCTCCCAGGCGCCCTCTCCGTACTCGTGTGAGGCGAGCGCCTTGGTATACCCAGGAGTTGCGCGAGCTGAAGCGGGAGCTGAGACAGCTAGAGAGACGGTGGAGCCGAACTCGTGATGAAGCATCTAGAGCATCTTATAGGACGTTTATGAAGGCCTATGAGATGGCAGTCAAAGCCGCAAAGAGGGAGTTCTATGCGGCCTCGATTGCGTCTGCTAGCTCACGCCCGGCCCAATTATTTAGTACAATTTGGTCCTTGTCTACTCTGCCACATGGCAGACAAAATGTTAGGGAATTGGAGATAGGCTGCGAGGCATTTGCGAGCTTTTTTGCAGATAAAGTCTCGATGCTCCGTCGTGACCTCCCCGCCACGCTTGAAACAGTGAGTGAACTTGAGGCCCCTTGCACGTCTTTGGAGCTGGGTTTAGCATGTTTTAACTGACTCAGTCTGGAGGAAGTTGACAGATTACTCACAGCTGTGCGCCCAACCACGTGCGACCTTGATCCGTGCCCCTCTTGGCTTATTAAAGCTGGCCGCGAGGGGTTTCGAGGTGCCTTGCAGGAGATTATCAATCTGTCCCTTATGCAGGGACAATTCCCCAAGGCACTCAAGGAAGCGATGGTCCGTCCTCTCTTGAAAAAGCCATCTTTCGACCCGGCCGAATTGGCTAACTACCGGCCGGTGTCTAACTTGCCCTATTTGGGCAAGCTTATCGAGAGGGCGGTGGCGTTACAGCTTCAGAGTTTTCTGGAGGATGCTTCCATCCTCGATCCCTACCAGTCCGGCTTTCGCCCTGGTCATGGGACGGAGACTGTGCTGGTCGCCTTGACTGACGATCTCCGTAGGCATCTGGATCGAGGTGGTGTGGCGGCTCTGGTGTTGTTAGATCTATCGGCCGCATTCGATACGGTCGACCACCAGTTGCTGACCCACCGCCTCGCCGACGTGGGGATTCAGGGGCTAGCCTTGCAATGGTTTTCCTCTTTTCTCCAGGGTCGGGGACAAAGGGTGGCGATAGGGGATCAGCGGTCCCGGAGG